TTTGGCATGCAGTCTTCTCTATGATCTTGCTTTTCTCTGTCTCTCAGTGTTGTTTCTTGCCAGGCTGCCTCTCTTGCTACCTACCCCACAGCCCCTCTAGACTTCTCTCAGTTCTTCCAAAAGAACAAATTATATCCAGCTTTGTTCATGTAATTGTTTTCTATCTCATCCCTCCCTTCTGCTTTCACCAATGTATACTAATTGGAAGCTTTGTGAAGGCATGGGCCATGTTTATCTTGTTTTTATCATTATAGCTCCAGCATTTATCACAATGCCAGTTTTCATATACGTACTCAATTTATTTACTAATTGAATTTATCCTTTAGTTCTTGATATCTCTTGGTTGTGATTAATTCCCTTAAAATTTGGCCACTCTACTCTGCCCTTCTATCTGTTAACTATTCCAAGTTCTTGAATTTGCTTGGATATCCTGGTTTGCTCTGAGAACCAATATTTGTAAGTTGTCCCAGTTTATACTTGCCTACCAAGCACCCTGCTTGGTATAGATCCTGCTTGAACAGATAAGTGTTCTTCATGTATGCCCTGATTCAGACTTGTTTACTTGTTGCTGACCTCATAACATCGGCTTTTCTCTGAGCTCAGTTTCACTCCTGTGTCTTCTGACTTTCCTGAAGAAGGATAGAGAAGTCACTCCACATACTCCAAAAACTTGTTTCTAATCCTGGGATATGAGTGATTAGAAGAGGGATTTGCACTTCTGTGGGGAATGACACAATGGGTCAGCTTTCATTTCTACTACTCTCTCCAAGGTAATGGGGAAAACCTGGCTAATTTGTCATTTCTCTGGTTGTCTTTCAGACTTAGATCTAGCAAGTCATTCTACAGCTCACCTCAGTAGAAAGTAATGTCTTTATATATACCTCTTTTTCGACTTTGATTTTCATTGCTCATTCTTAGCTTTTCATTACATCTAAATTATTAGAATTAATAATTTGCTTGTAAGTAATTCCTCAGTTAATCTATAGAGTTTAACACAGGTTCCTAGGAATTCAACTGTAATTCCCTGAATGACTTTTTTTGCCAGTAATATTACTCAGACCATCTTTATTTATTATATCAATAAACTCAGAAATAAATAACATTACCAGATTTTCTTTCTACATTTTTTAATCTTAACATACAGGAAGCCTTGGCTCGAGCTTTTTGGATTGACATCAAGCGCATGGATGACCCAGAGTGTTACTTTAATTCTTTGCCAAAAGAGTTAGAAGTAAAAAGAGATCGGATGGTACATTTACTTGAAAGTGTTGGCCTGAAATCCATAGTTCCTGATGGGGGATACTTCATCATTGCTGATGTGTCTTTTCTAGGTTTGTAAAGGTTTTATTATTTCAAATGTACTGAAACTTACATGTAAAATTTTATCAGAATTATGAAGAAAAGATTGGTGTCAAAGCCATATCAACATTTTATCTATGGAAAAATGGATTTTCACAAAGTCAATGTTTTTCTACTATAGTCTTGACTTTGAGGTACTTGACCTTAAACGTGATTGTTGTTACATAGTTATAGAATCAGTTGTTCTATTTATTCTATTAAACATAGAATTTACTATCATGTTGTTCTGGTGTATAATTTAAAACAGATACATGAAATAATATATATGCCCTCTGTCCCTTTGAGTAAAATTTTAGTTTCCTTTTTATTTGAAAAATACAAGGTTTCTAGAATGTGGATACCATCAAGGATTATTTGCCACTTTAGACTATACCAAAATGAAGTAAAAAGGAAAATGATATTTATTGAGGGTCTACTACATGCCTAGGACTTTCAAATACCCTTTTGAAAAAAGCACTGTTAGTGCCATTTTTAAAGACATAAAGACTTAGAAAGTTTTAAGTAACTTGCTTGAAGTCACACAGTTAGATTCTAAATAGTTCTGTCTCCGAAAAGCAATGGTCTTTATATTGCCCAAAATTGTTATGTGTAATTCTGACATGCTATATAAACCTAAAGGTAGAAGCCTAACATTTTATACATAATTTAACTTTCTTCAAAAAAACTATAATGTTAGTAATAGTAAATTTAAAAGCATAATTTATTCTCACAGAAATTACACTCATTCTAAATTAAATGTTTTAAGGTTTTATTACAATGAAGCTATATGACACTGAACTTGAAAAGCCTTTTATATTACCAAATTTTATAAAGCTGGAAACTTTTGATTTGATAATAAAAGTGATTATTATTTCTTCATTTTTTGTGAGAGAAACAGAGGCCACGGTGACCAGAGGTTCTTGCTGTCCTATTGCTAGAAAGCTGTATTTGTCAGGCTCTTAAGCTTTATTTTTATGTAAAATCCATTAAGATGTTGTATACTCTGAGGTTTGGAAACCACTTTTCTATATTGGGTCTAAATGTGGAGCTTATTTCATGACATGATAAAAATAAATCGCATAGTTGTCATCACTTATATTTTTGCCTTTGAATTGGAAATTGCAAAATTTTCAACATGAATTATTTTGTATAAAAGAAATTGACTTATACTTCATGTTCCCCAAAGGAATTTGAGCTAACTCAGAAGTCTTCTGTGCAATAATATCCACATAGAAATGTTCATTTATAATAGAAAATCAATGTCACATAGGAGGAGGAGGAAGCAAGTGTTTAAGTCACCTAGTTTCATTTAGTGTTGTAATTAGCATTAACTTGTGACTAAACGTCATGGCAGCACAGACAAAAAGAAAAATTGAATTAGTTACATAATTGTTGAGTAAAAGGAAACCTTTTAGAAAAAATAATTCTTTCCTGGAATCAAACTTTAAAGTATTTATGCTATAGTAGGTATTATGCTAAGAGGTTTACAAATATCATATTCTCACAAAAGCCCTAGGAGTCTGATGCTATTATATCCTCATTGATAGATGAGAAAGAGATAGGGAATCATGAAATTTACTGAAGTTAACTGATAAGTAGCAGAGCTGGCCTCTGAATCTAGAGATGCATGTTCTAACCAGGGAAATTGCCTTTTTTCCGCTATCCTAAGTATCTTTCCAGATCAGTGAGCTTTATTCTGGAACTAAAAGGGGAACATTTGATTAGAAGACACAATGACAAATAAGGAAAACTATTTGTTTAGTGAGATACTAAGGTCCAAATTTATGGAGCAGATAGTGGGAATGCAACAACCAATTTTGATTTTTATAGGTTACTTAAATACCCTAATGCTATTAATAGGATTCAGACTTCTAACTTCAATAAAGAAATATTTTTTTAGTTCCTTTGAGGATCTCTGACTCAAGTATTCAGAAAAAATAGATTCTAACTTTCTTCTAACTATAAAATCTTAAGAATTGTATTCCTTTCTTTCCTTTTAAGCACCATGGCAATAAAGTCATCTTTTCTAACCATTACAAGAATAAATGAGTAGTACAGCTAGTGTCAATTACAGTTAGTTAATATCCTCCTGTTCTTCCTTCTACTGCTATAGGTAATCATTTCTTTCTCTGGGTTGCCTTTGAATATACTACTATTATATATTTGTCACACAGAGTTTTCATATAATTTACAATAAACATTAACTTGTTAAAGTGATCATTTTTGATAGAGCCAAACCTGAATTAAATACATATACATACATATAGTGTGAAATACTTGAAATAGTAATTTAACTTTCTCATCTATAAAGTGAAGATTATAGCTACTGCTCAAAATTGTAGGACAAATAAGTGAGAGAATCATGTAACATGTTTAACAAATAGTAAGTTCTCAATAAACAGTAGTATATTATTAGCATTATTATATGGAATTTTTACATTCTTAAAGCACAGAAGAGAATGGAAATAAAATCATTAAGTAAAAATATATTAAGATTTTTTTAAATACAGGTGAATCTTTCATCAATGTCAAGGATTTTACATCATTCATTTGAAGAGATCCAGTAATTTTTGAATGAAAAAAAGATGGTTACCTCAATTTGTTTTGAGCAATAAATTGTAAAATTTCATTGATTATAGTAACCATCAATGTTAGTTGCTTTGGGCAATGCAAAAAGATCCAGAGTACAAGTCAATAAAATGGAAACAATATGCTGAAACTGAATGCCAGAGAAATATCTTGCTCAGATCTTAAAGCAAAATTGGAGCAAGAGATAAGAATAAGGATATATATTTGAAATTTTTCTCCAAATTTAACATTTTTTTTTAAAGTATAATATAGGAAAGAATGAGGCAAACAATAAGGATATCACTTGGAAGATCTACAGACACTTTCCCTGTATAAATAATAATATTAATTTAGTCATTCAATGAATATGCTTTTCATCTCTTATAAACTAGACACTGACCTAGACAATAGGGATAATGATAGGTTGCCATACAGACACTTTGCCCTTGTAGAGCTTACAATCTAATAATGAATGACTATTTGGAAATGAAATTATTACTGAAGAATACTCTTTAAATTTAGACGTTATTTTCTTAAAGACGATCAGTCTTATGTTGATTCTAGATGGAAAGACAATACTTTTCTTTCCTTCCCCTTCCTTACTCTTCCAGTGCTAAGAGCTGTATGCACAGGCATGATCAACCAGATGCATATGTGAGTACCAGCTTAGGGTATAGGTGAAGCTCATCTGTGAATTCCTCACTTCCCACCCCATCATGCAGCGTGAGACTCCAGCAGATTCTATGACTTATCTTCTAAGAAAATTTTGAATCTTGATAGACTTAAATGAAATACATGTTGCCTAATACATAGGCCATCTAAGTTTTCATTGTTGTTTTAGATGCAGACCTCTCTGATATGAAGAACAGCAATGAACCTTATGACTATAAATTTGTGAAATGGATGGTTAAAAATAAGGTAACGTTTATTGACCTTTGCAATATTGTGCTGTATTTTATAGTTAAATTATGAAGGAAACCTGCTGACGTGCTTTAAATAATGTTATTTGTAATTTTGTTACATGATAGTTCACTTCTGGCTATTTGGAGGATTTTAAAAACATTTTTACTTTTGGAAATCATTGTCAATATTTAGAAGTATCTATTTGTTTCTAATGTTTATGGTCCTAAAATTAATATTTGAATTATAAGTAGTTTTCCTATTTTACCTTTCTATTTATTTTTTAGAAACTGTCAGCCATTCCAGTTTCAGCATTCTGTAACACAGAGACTAAATTACAGTTTGAGAAGTTTGTGCGATTTTGCTTCATTAAAGTAAGTTCTCCATTCTACTCAAAAACACATTTATATGTCTTTTATTAATGTCCTTCCTTCTGATTTATAAATCACCATTTTTTTCTGTTACTAGATATGATGTGCTCATGTGCAGCTTTTAAATATTAGCTTGCTGCACAAAGAGATTTTGGCCAAGTGGGGAATGAAACAGATTGGCACGTGAGAGGACAGCAGTTAAATATTGGCTTGCTGCCACGAAATTAATAGCCTACCAGAACAAGAGTGTTGACTTTACAATGTAATCAGACTTCCATATGACATTACAATGTTTAGCATGCAATCAAAAATTACCAAATGTGAAAATACAAGAAATTGTGACCCTTAATAAAGGAAAAAAAGCAATAAATAAAAACAAATCTCAAGGTGACCCATATGTGGAAATTAGCAGACAGAGATTTTAAAGCAGATTATAAGTATGTTCAAGAAGTTAAAGGAAAATATGACCATAATGAATGAAAAGATTAAAACTATTGAAATAAAGAATCACGTGGAAATTCAAGAACTTAAAGGTGCAATATCTGATATGAAAGATGTATGGGGCTTAACACATGGAGGATTGAGGATGACAGGAAAAATGGTCCACTTAAAATACAGATCCATAGAAATTATCCAGTCTGAAAACGGAAAAATTATTTTTGAAAAATGAAGAGTCTCAGATCTATGAGAGAATATCAAATGATAATATACATGCAATTGGAATACTAAAAAAAAAAAAAAGAATGTAACAGAATAAATATTTTAAAAAATAATGGCAAAGTTTTCCCAGATTTTATTGTAAAGCAGTTTACAGATCTAAAATTTTAGTGAACCACACCAGCGTATAAAGAAAACCACACCTAGACACATAATAAACTGTAAACCAAAGGTAATGATAAGATCTTGAAAGCACCAAGAGAAAAACTGCACCTCCCATGCACAGGAGCAGATATGAATGCTAGCTAACTTCTTATTAGAAACAATAGAGACCAGAATACAATGAAATGACATCTTCGAAGTGCTTCAATAAAAAATATATTAGCCTAGAATTCTATATCGAGGAAAATATCTATTAAAACCGAAAACGATAGATACATCCCTCATAAATGAAAGCTGAGAGAATTCATCACTATTAGATCTGTACTAAAATAACATCTAAATGTATTATTGCTGTGTTTAAGATGCGATTGCTACTGAAAACAGTCTTAACTTAGATCAAGCCAATCTCTGTAACAACACACTCATCTGTAAACGTAGTTAGAATGTAAAAACTGTTTCAACTTTTAGAAACAACCTATAGACTAGGAAAGACTTATCCAGAATAGAGTATAAATATCAACAGACTAACAGTGTCAGCATTTAATCGACTGCAATGTAGAAGAAACGGTAAGGCCATTAGTGTTCTCATCTTACAGTGGATCTATGAATAGAGGTATATGATTTGAAGTTATAAGCAGGACTAATGAAAGTTAAAAATAAGACTTCTAGTTTTAAAATGGTAAACACAGCCCTTACCCATTCTCTTCATGGAAATTATTTTAAAACAACTAGGAGAATGCAAAACAAATTCACAACTTCTCCAGAAAATGAGAAAATTGCCAAAAACAGTGAAGGTAATGGTAGAAGATACCTAAAAAGGTTCCTGCTTCTACATCTTCATATTGTAGACAGACAGCAGGTAGCCTACCCATTATTCAGAGCAATAGAAACAGTTAAGTGTACTGGCAGTACACTTGTTTTGGCAAAATAAGCCAAAAAGGAGCATTTTACAGTGGTTATGGGTAAATTCTCAGTAGCTGTCAAATGTACGAAAGGATGCTCACCTCACTCTTAATAAGAGAAATGAAAATTAAAACTGCAATGAAATTTTATCTATTAGATTAGAAATAACCAAAACAACTGAAAAGTTCTATAAGACACTTTCATAGATTGAGAATGGGAGTATAATTTGTACTCTTTGACTTGTTTTTGTGCTGATATATTTATTTGATTGTTTTCCTTTTGGAGACCTGCCTTGAATTTGTACTTTGAAAAATTCTGTTCACTTGAGATGGGATATTCACTTAAATTTTCATTTGTACTATTATGTTTTATTTTTTTCTGCTTTACCGAAATATGTTTATTAAACTGAACAAATTATTAGAGTACTATCCAAAACTTAATGAGCAATGGCTATAATTTGTTCAACTTGCCTATTTTAAATTAGGCAAATGCCAGTCAATAGTACCATTCACCATACTCATGATTGTGTGTCTCCATGTTTGTAAATGTTATTTTAGCAGAAGACAGACTTTGCAGATTTCAATGCTTTTAGAAAACTAGTATTTTCAGTAAAATTTTTCTGAGCAGCAAAGAACAAGAATTTTTTTCAGAAATCTTAGAATTGAATGTAAACATTGGCAGAAGACACGACCAATAAATGTACAATTTGTCAAATGAAAAAGATTTCCCCAGTACAAATTTCTTTCCTAAAGACATTCAAACACCCTGACTCAAGATCAAGTCTCATTCCTATAATCTCACCAGATTATAACTGGCCCACATGAGGGGTGTTAGGTCATGTGCAAAAGTGAGTGAGATGAAAGGCAAGAAAGCAAAGTAAATTGATTTTACTTCGTAGTGAAGGAGAATTTCAAGTAAAGAGAATCCACTGACTTAGAGATCTTGCTGCTTGTACATCCCTCATCTGAAAGCCTCCGTAGTTAGCAGTGACCACAGCTGCTGTGAGCCATTGAAAACAAGGGCGTTTATGCCTCAAGTCTTGCTCCACATGGCATCCTGTGTGTGTTGTGAGCTAAGGGAGTGGTTTTCTTTTGTTGTCTAGAAGCCTCTTTGAAATAGCTTTGTGATTTTTGCACACTTCGTACCCAAATGGATGAAAATAATGTATTTGGTCCCGTCAGCACAGACTCTGCCCACATTGATGTGTTTTATAAGTCTGGGTCTTCTCTGGCACTTCAGGCTTCTGGGACTGCCACAAGTGGCTCTGAATAGTCACGGCGTCTACACTGATGGACATGGTTTTGGCTGGGATCAAGTTAAACTGTTTTTAATCTGAGCTGTATATACAATTTGTCGATCATTGTCTTGGTGATGTTCTTTGGCCCCATGCAGGTTAAGTTGTAGATTTCTCTGGTGTCAAGATAGTAGTAATAAAGTGCCCTTAACTGGCAGCCAACATTACAAAACAGTACGATGTAATGATTGGCATCACACTTCTTCATTTTCTCTAATATTGAATTCTTGTGAGGCTCATGTACAGCCAGACAGCAATGGGATATAGCATTATAACGATTAGTTTGTTTGATTTGCTCTTGAAAGAGCTTGGGACCTCTGTAGTTAGCCATCAAAGCAAGGGAAGACGTTGCAGACACCATTTCCCAGTCTTTGTCCGTGCTCTTACTAAGGTTGTGGCTTAATTTAGGCAAGGCTTCCAGTGACTTAATTCACTGGGAAGGCATGCCCCCAAGTGAATGTCCTGGGACTCTGTTATTACTGTGGAGGCCAAGGACAGGCTAGAACTCAGCTGGGCCCAGCTTAAGTTATCAGGGGTTGAGGAGCACTTGGTTCCCAAATCACCGCATGATTCTTCCTGATGGACTAACTTTGGTATCTTTTTTTGTATTTAAATCTTTACTTCATCTTGAATTTATTTTGATATGTAATGATGATGATTTCATTTATTTACAGAAAGACAGTACGCTAGATGCTGCTGAAGAAATCATCAAGGCATGGAATACGTAGACGTCTTGATAAATGCAAACTGTTAACTTTTCAGTTTGGCGTTGTTATTAGTGCTGCCACTTCCTGGATACTACAAAAGAAAAATCAGTACAAATGAAATTAAAGGAAATATTTTTATTTTTCCAAAGAACCTAACCCCTTGATAACAGTATTCAGGAGATATGATTTTTTTTTTCAGTTGAAATGAATTAAAATACCTTCCATTACCATTTTATGAGTCAGTATAGCATCGTGGATAAGAACTGTGAGATAATGTTTCATGCTTAGCCTTTGTGCTTCAGTTTCCTCATCATAAAAGGAGAATAAAAAGTGTTACACTTTATGAAATTTGTAAGTTGTGTGTGAGGATAAAATGGACTGATGTATATAAATCTTGGCAAACAAACAGTCAACTAATGTTAGCCAGTTTTACTTCACCACTATGCAAAAATTCTTAACCTCCTTCAACTTCATATCTTTGCTTTGTCTACCAACCTGCGGTCCCTCCCCTTCATTTACCCATGGCTTTGAACTTTACTCACATTTATTTCTCTCTGTCCAAGTACTGCCGTTATCTGGGTGGCTTCAAGGTCCACATGAATTAACGAGGCTTTCTGTACTTTGACTTTCTCACAGCTGGTGACATTCACTTCCACTTCAGCCACTCACTGGCTTGGCCATGCCCTGAAGCTTTCATCATTCCAGACTGTTCCATCTTTGGAATTAGTCGTCTCACACTGTAACCACTTAATCTTACAATATTCTCTCTCTCTTCCTCCTCCCCTTTCTCCCCCTCTCAAAATATTACTTCTTTAAACTCAATATAATTTCATATATATTATTTCTCAAAAACTTGTCCATGGTTCACTTACATCAGAATCAACTAGGTTCCTTGTTGAAAATATATTCTAGTCTTCACCCAGATATACTGAATAATAATTTCAGAATCTGGCCCTTTCCAGGTGATTCTTATAACTACTAAGTTTGATAATCGCTGCTATAGTCCATAGAACCCTTTATTTTATTCCTATCAGTCCCCTTATATCTTTACTCCCTTCCTCATCCAGCTTAGATTTCATCATCCATCACTTGGGCTGCTGAACACTGCTGTAGCAAAATGCATAATTGGGTAGGTTCTAACAACTATGGCTGTACATCACTGACCTTAACTAGACTTAATTCTATGATTTCGTAATGCACTTTCTCTGCCTTTTACTATATCAGCAATTTTTAATATTCTCCGTTCTCCATAATAAAAATGTCCAACCTTCTCCATTCTTCTCACAACTCAAAGCCCACCACCACCAACACAATTAAATGACCTCTTCTTCTACTTCTGGGGGATGGGGGGTGGGGGAGAACCACAACGGAAGCTGCCAAACCGTCAGTCCCAACAGGATCCTACCAATGAACCTTTCACATCAACATCAGCATTCATCCTTTCTTCATTTCCTCCTGGGGATGGGGCAGATTGAGGAGAAATTGCTGGTTAAACAGTTCCAGACTCAGCCACCCAGAAGGAGGCCCAGGAGAGTACCTGACATGTTTGATGAGTACCAAGAGTCTGGTATGGCTGGGTAGAATAACCAAGGGACAGAATAGTAGGTACTAGGCCAGAGAAGTAACAAGACCTCAAGGACTAGTGTAAGGGTAGTGGTTTAATCCAGGGAATCAGAGTGCCATCCCATCCATCTTTTTTTAAAAAAAATGTATATAAAATGACTTTTGTAGCATAGTTTATAATTATTACAAACAGAACAACCGAAATGTGCATCAACACAATGGACTATTATACAGCAATGAAAATTCACAAACTATAACCACACACAGTGACATGAAGGAATTTCATTAACGCTGTTTTCATAAGGTTTCTTCACGGTACCGTCAAAGAATAAGCTGGAGTTCTCAGTAGACAGTGCTCTTTAATACTGTGATCATTAAATCCTCGCATGCAGGCCTCAGCCCTGAGGTTCTAGAATTTCTGTGCTCACTGTGGTGAGGGCTTCCTTCCATGTTTTGGTCCAACAGTCAAGCCTAGGACTGGTCCATAGGAAACTTCATGTCTGGGTCATCTAAGAGTGAGAGGTCACCATCTTTTCCACTTGGCTGGGATGAGGAGAGCTGACAGAGGGAAGGAGGAAGGCATGGATTTTAAATATGGGGGTCTGTGAGTAAATAGGGCAATATTGGACCAAGAAAATTTTTAACCTCACTTAACACCCCTGGGACTCTAGAGACCAAGGCCAGACCTGAGGCTTCCAGAAGCCTAACTAGGTATCCAGGCCTAACTATGGTCAGAAACAGTGTAATGGGGTAAGGTGGGGAACCCAAAGGAGTTGGACAGAGGGGTCCACAGGAACCTAAAACTCACAAAACAATAGCATTGACATTGGCTCTGCCTGATATGCCCAGCTCGCTCCTAGATCTTAGCTCCACATCTTATTCTAGTGTTCACTGTTGTCGCTGCTCAGAGTATTCGGCCTTCCAATTTTTAAATCTCACCTTTGCACTCATCGAGGATGAAGTTTCTAGCCCCTTCCTTCCTTATTGAAGATTGGGTACTTGGTCTTCTCAAAAAGAGACTTCAACCTTTTCCCCTCTCTTTCTTGTCGAGAGTACATTTCTCGGACTCCCTTGAGAGAATCCCAAATCCTCGAGGTTCTTGCATCTTTTCAAAGGATCATCTGGCTGCTATGTTGAGATTAAACTGTAGGGGCAGCAAAGATCAAGGTATGTAGACCTATTAGGATAATTCATGTAAAATATCACCGTGTTAGCAGAAAGGTAAGAAATAGATTCTGGATATATTTTGAAGGTAGAACCAACAGGATTTACTAACAGGGTTTATAAAGGGCATGAGAGAAAGTGAGGGCTCAAAAATGAATCTAGTTTTTGACCTGAGCAACTGGAATAGTTGAGTGCTATCGATCACTAAGGTCAAGAAGGCTTGGGGGAAGTTCAAGAGGTGAGTTTTGAACATATTGAGTATGAAATGCCCATTCAACTTTCAGGTGTATATACTGTGTAGGCAACTGAATAGTCAAGTGCGGAGTCTTGGAAAAAGGCTGAATATATATGTATTTGAGAATCTGTAGCATATTGATGATATTTAAAAGACATGAGTCTGAATAAGAACACCAAATATGTCAGTATTAGCAACAAAAAGAGGATGAATGACAGCTTTAGATTTTTGAGAAATTTTACTGCAAAGTGGAATAACTCCTGGAATAGCTTTCCTTATTTGATGATTCCACTTTCACACACGCATACATACACACACTCCTCACTTACTCTCAACCTTCTGCAATCTGGGTTCTACGCCCAATATTCTCTTAAATTCTCTAATGACCTCCATGTTCCTAGATTTAAAAGAAACGTTTTAGTTCCATCTGAGTTTACCTCTTTGTATTTACCACTGCAGACCCTACTAGCCTTCTTAAACTCAATCTTTCTTGTTTCTATGATGCATATCTGCAAATTGCCTCCCCCCTTTTCAGTTTCCTTTGCCTGGTCCTTAAATATCAATATTTTGTTTTTCTCATTAAGTAACGTAATCTACTCTATATGCTAGTGATTCCTAAATCTGTATTAGTGTAGTCCTACCAAATTTCAGGCCCATATTTACAACACCTCATTTGTCATATTAGGTGGACAGTTCACAGGCAAACCCTATCTAGTTTTGTCTCCACCTCAGTGAATGGTGCCACCAATCCAGTTGTTCAAGTCAGAAAATCTAGAAGTCATTCTTAATTTTTCTCCCCACATCTTCAATATCTAAATATCCTAAATATCTATCCTGAATATCTCTTAAATCGATCATTTTTCTCTGCTCCAACTGCCACCACTCTTGTACCAGTCAATATCCTCTCTCAACTAGATTACTAGTCAACCTCTTAACAGTTCTTCCTGCCTTGCTCCTTCCGATCTACTATCCCTGTAGAACAAATGAGCTTTATCAAATGCGATATGATTGTGCTACATATGTTCACATAGCAAGTTACAGAAAGCCTAACCCATATGGGTTTAAGTCAAAAAGGAATTGTCTGTCTCAACTGAAAACTTTAGGAGTAGCTAATTTAAGTTACAGCTTGATCTAGGACTCATTATAATATGTCACCAAGCTTCATCCCATAGTTCTTTCTACCCTGTGTCAGCTTTATCTTCAGGTTGCTCCCTCCTGTAATGGCAACATGGCTGTAGCAGTTTCTAAGCATCACAGAGTAACACTAGGAGATCCAGCAAAAGATGACACTGAAGCCCCAGCAAATGGTATAATGTGTCTTACTGGCTCATTCCTGAGCTACCTGCCAAGGAGGTTGGACATGTTAAATAACTTATGCCAACCCAAGGTCAACTCCACCCAAACTACATTGGTTGAAAGGAAGGGACAGAATGAAGAAGGGAGGAAATGGATGAGCAAACATCTTAAGTGACTTTTAAAAGCCTTTCATTACTCTCCATCACTCTTAATGTAAAGACTACTCTCCTCATCAAGGCCTTCATTGCCCTGCATGATACTGTCTTTCTTATTTCTCCAGTTTCATCTTTCCCAGTCATTTTTCCTACTCAAATGTGTAGTCATAGTGGACTCATTTCCATTTTTAAATAGGCCCTTTTCTCTCTGCCTTTTAGCACACGTCATTTCCTAATGTTCAAGCATGTTTAATATAGGGGGTGTATTAGTAGTGCTTAACTTTATGTGTCAGTATGTCCAGATATGTGGTCAAACATTATTCTGGTTGGTTCTGTAAGGGCGTTTTGGGATGAGATTAACATTTAAATCAGTCAACTTCGAGTAAAGCAAATTGCCCCCCACAGTGTGTATGGGCCTCATCCAGTCAGCTGAAGGCCTTAACAGAACAA